GGTACAATCTCGGCTCACCACAACCTTCGCCTCCCGGGTTCAAGCAATTCTCCTGCCTAAGCCTCCTGAGTAGCTGGGCTACAGGTGGATGCCACCACGCTCAGCTAATTTTTGTAGGTTTCCTAGAGACCAGGTTTCACCAGGCTGGTCTGAAACTCCTGACCTCAGGTGATGCATCTGCCTCGGCCAGAATTTCTCTATAAATTCAGCAAAATTGTTTTATAGTCTGGAAAAAAGGTCCACTCCATATGAAGAATCAATCTTATTTCTTCACCATTGATATTTTTCATCTGAGTTGAAATTACAAACTAACTCCCGCAGAAATACTTATGAATTATTATGGAGCATTGATTACACAGTAAGAACTGTAATATGTTTGCCACATTTATATATAAAAAATCCTCATGACTTATGAAGCGTCCCTAGTACTTACCTGAACAAATTGACTCAATAAATAAATATACTCATGTCAATTATAAAAAGTGAAAGGAACAATCACTAAAGAAAACTCAAAACTTATTGTTCTTTCCTTAAAAGAACAAAATCAACTGCTTTAAGTAAAATGTAACTTAATATATTACTTTTGGAATTACATCTAAAAATTATTTTGTGTGCACTAAATTTCATAAAATTCTTATAATCACAGACCAGCTCATATAATACTTCCTAAACTATAAAACAAAAAAATATGTTAGAAACGAAGTATGGGTCTAGCATGAGTATCAGGCAAGTATATACAGACAGTTTGCATGAAAAGATTCAGAACTGTTAAGTCATGGATTGTACAGTAATAAATTCAATACAAAGCACAAAGTATACATTTGCTTTTGGTATTTTTTAGGTTTTTAATTTTATAGTAGTCACCTTATTAAAATGATTTTTGTTACCATGTTATTCTTTTCTTTTGAAAATAGTTACAAACTCACACACACACACGCACACTTATTCCATAATTTTCTTACATCTAAAGTTTGTCTTTAGACTAATATATATTTAACTCTATGTGAATCAAAAACTCTGTGTTTGCAGGCAGACAGGCCACATGTTCAAAGAAAAATATATAGCAAATTTGAAAAAATATTAAGAGTTTAGAAATGAATTTTATTTTTGCTCATATATAATTTTTATTACAACCATAAAAATAACCCTATGGTAAATAACAATTTAATTGTATATTATAAAATTTTTAAAAAGTGGCTGGGCACGGTGGCTCACGCCTGTAATCCCAGCACTTTGGGAGGCTGAGGTGGGTGGACCACAAGATCAGGAGATCAAGACTATCCTGGTCAACACAGTGAAACCCCGTCTCTACTAAAAATACAAAAGTAGCCGGGCATGGTGGTGGGTGCCTGTAGTCCCAGCTGCTTGGGAGGCTGAGGCAGGGGAATGGTGTGAACCCGTGAGGTGGAGCTTGCAGCGAGCCGGAGATGGCGCCACTGCACTCCAGCCAGGACAACAGAGTGAGATGCTGTCTCAAAAAAATAAATAAATAAAAATTAAAAATAAAAATTAAAAAAAGTGTAAAATTGGATTCTTTGTAAAACAAAGGAGAAATGTTACAGGTGAAGGATGCCTCACTTAACCCTGATATTATTATATATTGTATTCTTGTATTAAAATATGCCATATAGTGCATATATACTCATGTACTCACCAAAATCAAAATAAATTTAAATGATTAAAAACAAAATAAAAATTTAACCTACAGAAATATTCTTTAACTTATTTGCAGTTTAAAGCCACTGGCAAAAAAAAAATTACTACAGATGTTAATCCATCATGTTACTAAATAGCATACTGTTACAGCTTTTACCTATACCCTTGAGTAAGGTGGAAGAGGGTAAAGTTTGTGGTATAACAATGCTTCATTGAATGCACAATAGTATTTAACATGTTAAAAATGTTAAGGTAAACTATTAACTTCACACAATCTAAAATTTTTAAAAATGTACTGCATCTTATCATATAAAAGTACAATAAGTACGATAATATACTAATTTTAAATAAAATTAAACGTTTTTTCATAATGCAGAATTACTCTGAACACCAACCTCATGCATCACTCAATATTGTAAGTTAACTCCAAAGAGCCTCTCCACTTAGATTTTCACTATGCATCTTACATTCTAATGTCTTTACTTTTCAATAGAAAAGATCGCAAATAATGCCCACCTAATAAAAAAGAATCTCTTGCCAGGAGCAGTGGCTCATGCCTGTAATCCCAGCACCTCGGTAGGCCAAGGTGGGTGGATCACGATGTCAGGAGTTCGAGACCAGCCTGGCCAACACGATGACATCCTGTCTCTACTAAAAATACAAAAATTAGCTGGGTGTGGTGGTGTGCACCTGTAATCTCAGTTACTCGGGAGGCTGAGGCAGGAGAATCGCTTGAAACTGGAAGTTGAATGTTGCAGTGAGCCAAGATCATACCACTGCACTCCAGTCTGGGCGAAAGAGTGAAACTCCATCTCAATAAACAGAACAAAACAAAAAAAGAATTTCTCATATCTCTGATACAGCAATAATTGATCCCATACTTTCACACACGAATCCAATAGGAATGAAGAAACAGCAGGAAACTATTTCAGAGTTGAATGACATCATTATTTACTTTTCAAAAAGTCTGTAATATTTTTCAAGAAATAAAGTATACTTTGAATGTAATTGTAACTGCAAAAAACCTTATGATCCTCGTAAAGTTATATACAAATAATTTTTCTACCTTTAGTTTTATTTTCTATACTCAGCCCTCTGATTTAGTATATCTGACGTGTCAGTGCCTTATGTATTTCTACCACAAATTCTTTGATGTTTACACAGACTTAATTTACTTTTACTGCATCTGCAAAAACATATTCTAGTATGAACTTTTTGTGTGTGTGCGTATTACAAATTTTTACTCTCTATTTACATACCTTAGGTTCAGTGCTTAATAACATTAGTAGCTTTGCTATGTGATCTGCTTGATGAAATATTGATTTGGGGTAAGTATTCCCAGACCATCTTAGGGCATTCTGTTAATATGTTCTGCTCGGCCGGGCGCGGTGGCTCAAGCCTGTAATCCCAGCACTTTGGGAGGCCGAGACGGGCGGATCACGAGGTCGGGAGATCGAGACCATCCTGGCTAACACGGTGAAACCCCGTCTCTATTAAAAAATACAAAAAACTAGCCGGGCGAGGTGGCGGGCGCCTGTAGTCCCAGCTACTCGGGAGGCTGAGGCAGGAGAATGGCGGGAACCCGGGAGGCGGAGCTTGCAGTGAGCTGAGATCCGGCCACTGCACTCCAGCCTGGGGGGCAGAGCGAGACTCCGTCTCAAAAAAAAAAAAAAAAAAATATGTTCTGCTCTTTTCCCCTCCCTGCCAGGATTTCACATTTCATCTTAAAGGATTCATTGGTTCACTTTTACTATGTAAAAATGTCTTTATATCTTATATTCCCATTGTTACAATAAAAGTTTATATTATAGCAATTGATATGCAAAGTATGTGTTAAGCAAATTGCATATTAGATGTTTTATTCAAATGTCAAAGTAAAACTTTGTCAGTTAAACAGCTCATAACAATACCAATAAATTTCAAGTTGTCAAATTGTATGTATTGTTAAGATTTATGTCCCAATACAGGGGCAGTAATCTTTTTAAAAGCCACGGAGTATCGAAATGGTTGTCTAATAACTGAAACATATGTAGCCTTCTAGCTATGTAGCAACAATTGCCACTGGATGTTTTCCTGCATCCTATTTTCTTTTTTCCAAGGTAGGTATTTTGACAGAAGTGACGAATCTCATCTTTTAAAAATTAAAATCACGATGTTTAATAAAACATGTTTAATGTTACTTAGAATCGACATGATGAATTTATTGTTTTTTCTTTTTTTTTGAGACAGAGTCTCGCTCTGTTGCCCAGGCTGGAGTACAGTGGTGCGATCTCGGCTCACTGCAAGCTCTGCCTCCCCGGTTCACACCATTCTCCTGCCTCAGACTCCCGAGTAGCTGGGACTACAGGTGCCCGCCACCACACCCAGTTAATTTTTTATATTTTTTGGTAGAGACGGGGTTTCACCATGTTAGCCAGGATGATCTTGATCTCCTGACCTCGTGATCTGCTTGCCTCGACCTCCCAAAGTGCTGGGATTACAGGCGTGAGCCACCACGCCCAGCCATGGACTCTCGTTTTCTAAGCTATAGTTTTTGAAAGAGTGTTTTTCCAAATTTATTACATATTTGCACGATTTTTCTTCAACATGAATTCCCTGATATTGAACAATGTGTGAGAAACTGCTTCAGAGTTTTTCCTCTACAAAAAATGTCTACATAAGATCTATGAAACAAATAAAGGCACTACAACCCTCTTTATATTTGTAATGTTCATCTTCAAAATAAATACTCTTCACTGTAAAAGTTTGTATTTTCTTTTCTTTTTTTTTTTTTTATTGATATTGTCTTGCTCTGTGGCCCAGGCTAGAGTGCAGTGGTATAATCTCAGCTCACTGCAACCTCTCCCTCCCTGAGTTCAAGTGATTCTCCTGCCTCAGCCTCTTGAGTAGCTAGGATTACATGCATCACAACCATGCCCGGCTAATTGTTATATTTTTAGTAGAGATGGGGTTTCAGCATCTTGGATAGGCTGGTCTCAAACTCCTGACCTCGTGATCCACCTGCCTTGGCCTACCAAAGTGTTGGGATTACAGGCCTGAGCCACCGTGCCTAGTCAAAAGCTTGTATTTTCTGAAAGATCTTTTGACAGTAATTGTACATATAATGATTTTATTAAGTATGAACTCTCTAGTGTTAAGACATGAACATATATTAATGACTTTTTCAGTCTTTATGTTTGTATAATTTATCTCAAGTATAAATGCTTTCCTGTGCAATAAGGTGTGAGCATTGGTTAAGTTTTGCCACACTGTTCACAGATGTAGGTGTTTTCTCTAGTATGAATTATCTTACCTACAATCAAATGTGACAACCATTTAAAGGCTTTGTCTCATTCTTCAGATTTCTAAGATTTCTCACTAGCATAATTTCTTTTATGGTTAGAAAAGTTTGAGGTGTTGTCAAAAGCATTGTCACATCTTTCTTGTTTGTAGAATTTCTTTCCAGTATAAATTATCTTATGTCTGTTAAGAATTGAAAGCTTGTTAAAGGCTTTGCCATGTTTTTCACCCTCATAGGGTTTCTGTACAGTATGAATTTTTTTAATGCTTAGTAAGAGTTTGAGGACTGGTTAAAAGCTTTGCCACATTCTTCACATTTGTTGAGTTTCTCTCCAGTGTGAATTATTTTCTTCAATAAGATTCAAGGACTGGTTGAAAGCATTGCGATATTCTTCACAGTTATGAGGTTTCTTTCCAGGATGAATTTTCCTTTTTTTTTTTTGTGCGACAGAGTCTTGCCTTGTGGCCCAGGCTGGAGTAGAATGGCACGATCTTGGCTCACTGCAAACTGTGCCTCCTGGGTTCAAATGATTCTCCTGCTTCTGCCTCCTGAGTAGCTGGGATTACAGGTGCCCGCCACCACACCCAGCAAATTTTTGTATTTTTAGTAGAGACAGGGTTTCACCATGTGCCAGGCTGGTCTCAAACTCCTGACCTTGCGATCTGCTCACCTCGTCCTCTCAATGTGCTGGGATTACAGGCGTGAGCCACCATGTCCTGCTGAATTTTCTTATGTTTAGTAAGAGTTGAGGACTGGTTAAAGGTTTTACCACATTCTCCACGTTTGTAAGATTTCTTTCCTGTATGAATTATGTTATGTTTAGCAAGGTTTGAGGATCGGTTAAAAGTTTTGCCACATTCTTCACATTTGTAGGGTCTCTCTCCAGTGTGAATTCTCTTATGTGTAGTAAGGTTTGAGGATCGGTTAAAAGCTTTGCCACATTCTTCACATTTGTGGAGTTTCTCTCCAGTATGAATTATCTTATGTTTCCTAAGGTTTGAGGATTGGTTAAAAGCTTTGCCACATTCTTCACATTTGTAAGGTTTCTCTCCAGTATGAATTATCTTATGTGTAGTAAGGTGTGAGGAATGGCAGAAGGCTTTGCCACATTCTTCACATCTGTAGGGTTTCTCTCCAGTATGAATCATCTTATGTGTAGTAAGGGTTGAAGAGTGCTTAAAAGCTTTGCCACATTCTTTACATTTGAAGGGTTTCTCTCCAGTATGAATTCTCTTGTGTCTAGTAAGGGTTGAGAAGCGCGTAAAGACTTTGTCACATTCTTCGCATTGGTAAGAATTCTCTCTAATATGAATTCTTTTATGTTGACTTAGGTGTAAAAGCATGCAAAACGATTTGTCACATTTTTTACATTTGAAAGGTTTCTTTCCAGTATGTCTTGTCTTATGTCTATTTGAATTTAAATTTTCATGAAAGACTTTTATATATTTATCACATTGAAATATTTTGCTCTGGGTAGTTGTCAAACACTGGTTTAGTTCATTATAACCTTCTTTGTGCACCTTACACTCATCCACACTTGCGGAGCCTTTTCTTAATTGTAAATTCTCATGTTCACATTTTCTGTATCTTCTCAGTATCACTTGTTGGAAAGAATCTTTTATGTCTTGCTCTGGCCAAAGGTCTTTGGTAAAATAAGAACACATAGCTGAAAGAAATAAAAACAACAAATTATTCAATTTACTAGACTCTGATAAACATACTTTACAAATCTAACCTATATTATACAAACTACATAAGCAAGATGCCATAATAAAATACCACAGGCCCTAAATCCTTCATAGACATATAAATATAATAAAAACATACTGACCAAAATACATGAGGAAAACTTATAAATAACTGTGTAAATTTCCCCAGGTGAGTACACAGGTGAGTACACAAGAATGCAAAGATACAGAAGAAAAAGAAAAGTCTGTTACATTTACCCAACACAGTTCTTCCTACTCCCCAATATAACATAGTGCCTTTCCACGTAAATTGCTAACTTTTGGTTTCTTTTTTAGTAAACAAATACAATACTGGCACATATATCTACATTACTTGCTACTAGAGGCCTTTCCAGAAACTGGTCTCCCATAACATAAAGTGCTGAAAAAAATGGTGGTATATTTTGGAATTACAGTTTGGGTCTGCTGAGACCAACAGTAAATGTTACAGCAGCAGAGAGACTGCAGTACAACAGACAGAAAACAGATATAGCAAATGGTTACTGATTAAGATGAAGCAGAAATAAACTCCTTTAACTAAAATGTAAACACAAAATTTTAGACAAGATACATTCTAAGAACATGTTTGAGAATCTCCCAGGATCCGAGAAAATTGTTTTCAGACTACGCCAGGAGAAAGCTACATGATAAAAATTGTGTCAGGTAGCTTTATTTAATGCCCAAATTTTAATCAAAGATTACAATGAATACAAAATAGGGCAAAATGGTTCTATCAAAAATATAAAATTGTCAGAAAGAAACCAAAAAAAAGTATATACTAATTTTAAAAATTAAAAATAAACTGAATACTCAGTGAGTAAATTAGGAATACAGAGAACTACAGAAAATCAGAAAAAACTGAAGATAAGAAAAAAATATTCAAAATATCCAAAAAAAACAAATTATAAAAGGTAAAAAATATCAAAAGAAAATATAACTCAAAAATTCTGAAAGAAAAAATAATGTCAAAATGAAGAAGCTCAACAAACAATTAGGATACACACAAAGATATTTATAACAAACACATATATAAGCACAATTTCAAAAGCCACAGACAAGAAGAGAAGGGAGCTGCAAGATAAAAATGGTGTGTCATTTACAAGCATAGTCTTATAAGATAGTCAGTCAACTGTCAACAAAACCTTTGCAGGCTAGAAGGAAACTGTGTGATATAGTCAAAGTCCTAAAAAAAATAGCTATCAAGTCAGAATAATAACAGTCCTGCCAAATAAAAAGAAAAAAACCTTCAAAAACAACCAAATTCTGAAAAAATATATTGGCACTTCATATGCCCTAAACATAAAAGACGCGGAAAACAGTTGCTTCTACTGAAAATAATATGATTAAACAAAATAATTTTATAAATAATTATATCATATACACTATTTTCTGGGGAAAAAAATGCACATACACAAAAATGGAATTTCTTAGCATTATAATAATATGGCACAAAAACATTTTAAATTATTCTCTAAAATTTGAAAGGTAAAAGAATAGAAATAATTATAAACATTTGTTAATGAATATACAACTAAACATGATTAGCAACATCAATGACAAATTTGAGGGCATGAGAAAAAATTTATGAATCCAGCTGAAGTTCATTTTTTACCAGATTAAAATATACTGTTGTAGCTTTTAGAGGTTTTATGTAATTCCCAATACACCATCAAGAATTTATCTGTATAGATACACAAAACAAACAAGAAAGAAGTAAAAGCATATCAAGATAAGTATAAAAAAGACACAAAGGAAAAGAGAAAATGAGGAACAAAGATACAAGCATCAAATAAAACAATAAAATAACATTACTAAGTCTTCATAAGCGGAGAAAAATAAAATTCTTTTCAGAGAAGCAAATGCTGAAGGAATACATGACCACCAGGCCTGCCTTACTAGATAGAGCTATGAAAGAAGGAATAAATATGGAAAGAGAAAAACCATTACCAGCCACTGCAAAAACACAGTGAAGTACAAAGATGAACGATGCTATAAAACAACTACATCAATGACTCTGCAAAATAAGCAGCTAGCACCACTTGGATAGAATCAAAATCATACATAACAATATTAGCCTTAAATGTAATAGGTTGAATGCCTCAATTGAAAGACACAGAAGGGCAAGCTGGATAGAGTCATGACCCATTTGTGTGCTGTATTCAAGAGACCTATTTCACTTAAAAAGACAAGTGTAGGCTCAAAGTAAAGGAATGGAGGAAAATTGACAAAGCACATAAAAGCAGAAACAAAAGCAGGGGTTGCAATCATAGTTCCTTTTTTATTTTTGAGACGGTGCCTTACTCTGTTGCCCAGTTGGAGTGCAGTGGTGCGATCTCAGCTCACTGCAAGTTCTGCCTCCTGGGTTCATACCATTCTCCTGCCTCAGCCTCCCGAGTAGCTGGGACTACAGGCGCCCGCCACCACTCTCAGGTAATTTTTTGTATTTTTAGTAGAGACAGGGTTTCACTGCGTTAGCCAGGATTGTCTCGATCTCCTGACCTCACGATCTGCCTGCCTTGGCCTCCCAAAGTGCTGGGATTACAGGCATGAGCCACCACGCCTGGCCTGCAATCATAGTTTCTGACAAAACAAACTTTAAATCAACAAAGGTCAAAAAAGACAAAGAAGTGCATTACATAATAGTAAAGAGATCAATTCAAAGAGCACCTGGATTCATAAAACACATTCTTAGAGAACTATAAAGAGACTTAGACTTCCATATAATAATAGTGAGAGACTTTAATGCCCCTCTGTTAATATTAGACAGATCATTGAGACAGAAAAGTAACAAGGCTTGAACTCAGCCACAAACAACACAATGCACATTCTTCTAAGTTCCACATGGCACTTACTCTAAAATTGATCACATGGCTGGGCATGGTGGCTCACCTTGTAATCCTAGCACTTTCGGAGGCCAAGGTGGGTGGATTGCCTGAGCTCAGGAGTTCAAGTCCAGCCTGGGGAACAGGGTGAAACCCCATCTCTACTAAAAAAACAAAAAATTAGCCAGGCGTGGCAGCATGCGCCTGTAATCCCAGCTACTCAAGAGGCTGAGACAGGAGAATGGCTTGAACCTGGGAGGTGGAGGTTGCAGTGAGCTGAGATCGTGCTATCGCACTCCAGCCTGGGCAACAGAGCGAGACTCTCAAGAAAAAAAAAAACAAGAAAGAAAAGAAAAAAATTGATAACATAATTGGAAGTGAAACACTTCTCAGCAAATGCAAAAGAACTGATATCATAACATTCTCTCAGACTGCAATGAAATCAAATTAAAACTAAAGAGTAAGAAACTCACCAGGCATGTGATGGCTCAGTAATCCCAGCACTTTTTTTTTTGAAACAGAGTCTGGCTCTGTCGCCAGGCTGGAGTGCAGTAGTGCAATCTTGGCTCACTGCAACCTCTGCCTCCTGGCTTCAAGTGATTCTCCTGCCTCAGCCACCCGAGTAGCTGAAACTACAGGCACGCGTCACCACACCTGGCTAATTTTTTGTATTTTTAGTAGAGATGGGGTTTCACGATGTTGGCCAGGATGGTCTCAGTTAGAGGCCAAGGTGGGTGGATCACTAGAGGTCAGGATTCGAGACCAGCCTGGCAAACATGGTGAAACATACCATCTCTGCTAAAAATACAAAATATTAGCCGGGCGTGGTGGTGGGTGCCTGTAATCCCAGCTACTCGGGAGGCTGAGGCAGGAGACTCACTTGAACCTGGGTGGCGGAGGTTGCAGTGAGCCGAGATCGTGCCACTGCACTCCAGCCTGGGTGACAAGAGAAGAACTCTGTCTCAAAAAAAAAAAAAAAAAATCAGAAATCAAAAAATTATTTGAAACCAATGAGAATGAAGAGACAATGTACCAGAATCTCTGGCACACAGCTAAAGCAGTGTTAATGGGGAAATTTATAACACTAAATACCCAAATGAAAAAGCCAGAAAGACCTCAAATGGACACACTAACATCACAACTAAAGGAACGAGAAAACCAAGAGCAAACAAACCTTAAAGCTAGCAGAAGATAAGAAATAACCAGATTCAGACTGGAAATGAAGGACACAGAGACACAAAAAACCCTTCAAAAAAAAAAAAAAAAAAATCAATGAATCCAGGAGATGTTATTTTGACAAAATTAATAAAATAGATGCTAGCTAGACTAATAAAGAAAATAGAGATGAATGAAATAGACAATAAAAAATTATAAAAGGGATATCACCATTGACCCCATAGAAATAAAAACAACCTTTGGAAAGTACTACAAACACCTCTATGCACAAAAACTGGAAAACCTAGAAGAAACGGATAAATTCCTGGACACATCCATCCTTTCAAGTCTGAACAGGAAGAAATTGAATCCCTGAAAAGACCAATAACAAGTTCTGAAATAGAGGCGGTAACAAATAGTCAATAGCCTACCAACCATAAAAAGTCCAGGATCGGATGAATTTATAGCTGAATTCTACCAGAGGTACAAAGAGGATCTGGTACCATTTCTTCTGAAACTATTCCAAATGATAGAAAAGGAGGGGCCTCTCCTTAACTCATTCTATGAGACCAGCATCATCCTGATATCAAGACCTGGCAGATACACAACAAAAAAACAGAAGAAAACAAACAAAAAAGCCTTCAAGCCAATATCCCTGATAAACATCAATACAAAAATTCTCAATAAAATACTTGCAAACTGAATCCAGCAACACATCAAAAAGCTTATCCACCACAGTCAAGTCAGCTTTATTCCCAGGATGCAAGGCTGGTTCAACATACAAAAATCAATAAACATAATTCATCACATAAACAGATTTAAAGACAAAAACCACATGATTATCTCAATAGACGCAGAAAAAGCCTTCGATCAAATTCAATATCCCTTCATGTTAAAAACTCTCAATAAACTAGGTATTCACGGAACATACCTCAAAATAATATGAACTATCTATGACAAAC